ACACAAAACGTCAAAACCCGTCAAAAACGGCCGACTTCATCTTTTAAACATGTGTGCACGTTCCATGTGTCACAAAAAACTGACACCAACGCGATCGCTCATGCAATGCTCTATCGCACTGTGCAAGTTTTATGCCACTGGGACCCTTGGTTATGGAGATATGGCTCCGGTAAGCGAAGCGTGTCGGGCCGTCGGCCGGTCGTCTTGAAATTGACGTTGCCCGTGTCAAGCCTATAGGATTTTTTGCGTTTTTTTTCTCTGCGCGTGCTCATTTTTGCGAAATACAGAATTTTCACGCTACACTGCACCGCTCTGCCAGCAGGCCTCGGTCATGCAAAAATTTCATGGGACAATTCCAGACCGTTTGGCCTGCAGGTGATCCGAATCAAATGGCGGACACAAACACACTGTTCCCTTAGTAATATAGAAAAAAAGAAAACAGAAAGAAAGAAAGAAAGAAAAAAGAACAAGAAAGAAGATAAAGAAGATAAAGGTGCCCCTCAATGCGTCATGGCTTGATAACGTCATCGTACCTCGTGCAGCACTGAGAGACAACTGACGGTCGCTATATCTCAAAATCGTGCTCACGAACGCCAGCTCTGAACACCTCGTTCTTTTTTAATCGCCACATGGCTTATGGAATGGCAGAATTTGAGCGACGTTATCATGACGACATGAATGTCAAGGTGGCTTGAAATTCTCTCCCCGATATATCTTTCCCCATTGTCGCGGGCGTATAGCTCAGAAACTAGAGGGATCTTTAGAAGGGCAGGATTGTAAACAGCACCGACAGGTCTTCAAGATGGCCTTTTCAGTTTAAAACCCCATATAAAAGTGCAACGCTCCCTTTAAGCGAACGCCCTACAGGCGGCAGAAGGCAGTGGTGCGCGTGGCCAGCGCCGGCCGGCTAGCAGCCCTCTGCTCCACCTGCCCCCATTCCTGGCCTCGCCACCGCTGCCGTCAATCACACACAGCGGCCCCCTAACGCGCGCGGCGCCGTGCCGAAGTGGGCGATAAATCGCGCCGGCCGCCGCCGCTGTCGTTAGACGGACGGAGAACACCGGCGACGCCACGGCCCGGCCGCGCCAATATGCAATCCGATGCAATAGTGGCGGCGGCGCGGCGTCAGAACCGGCGTCCGGCTCCATATCGCCGCCGACTCACGGCGTCCGGCTCCATATCGCCGCCGACTCACGGCGTCCGCGGCGGCAGTGCGCACAACAGACGGCCAACATGGCGGGGCTGGGCATGAGCTGACCGGCCCTGCTCAGCTGGGCCCGCTAGTGCTGGCAGCGGCCGGACGTGGCCGTACGAGCAGGCGGTGACAGACCGCCGTGTGAGCTTGTTCGAGCTTCGGAGCAGGCGGCGACAGACCGCCGCGTGAGCTTGTTCGAGCTTCGGAGCAGGCGGTGACAGACCGCCGTGTGAGCTTGTTCGAGCTTCGGAGCAGGCGGCGACAGACCACCGTGTGAGCTTGTTCGAGCTTCGGAGCAGGCGGCGACAGACCGCCGTGTGAGCCCGGCCCAGCCGCGGGGCGCACTGGGCCTCGATCTGGGCGGGGCGCACTGGGCCTCGATCTGGGCGCGGCACGACAGAGCTGGTGCGGCTCACAAAGACACAGGTGGCACCAACGTCCGCTAGCTCCCACGCACCAGATAGGTCTCGTGCTCCAAATGGCAGACCGAAGAGAACGCAGATGCACAGCACAGCACAACACAACACAACACAACACAACACAGCACAGCACAGCACAGCACAGCACAGCACAACACAACACAACACAACACAACACGGCACGGCACGGCACGGCACGGCACGGAGGAACCGTGGGCGCACAGTACAGCACAGGAATTAGGTGCACCGTTCAACACACAGAAACGGTGGGAGAGCGGAACATCCATCACTTGTTTGCTTTTGCATGTATGGTTTGGATTTCTTCATGACTGCAGCACCTACGGATGCGAGGATTCTCTGTTCATACGTGATGGCTGAGCTACAATCTGGTGACTCAGCCGCCACCAACTAAATGCGATCCTTCATCCCTGGCGTAAGCTTAAAATCATGTTCCAACAAATCTTCAGGCAAAGGAAGGAACAGCACAGCAACAATGGGGCCATGGTTTTGAATGATGTCGGTCCGGTCCGGTCCGGTCCGGTCCGAACGTGGAGCGGGGGTCTCCGCTGCGTTAGAGACGGCGGATGCCACACCGGGACGCAGATAGCGAATGGTCCAGTCGCTGAACCGTGCAGGGCAACAGTCGAGTGCCTGCGTCTGTCAGGCGGTGCAGGCCCGCGGGACCCGACTTCTCGTGTGTAGCCCCGCCCTTCACAGGCGGAGCAGGCCCGACCGGCACCGGGCGCAACAATCAGTCGAGCGTGAGCCTGGCAGACGCGGCGGTGACGCACTGCTAACGATGGCAACAAGCGCCGCCCACTCAACCAGTCGGCACAAATCTGAACGGGCGATACAGAAGCATCCTAACTAGCCGCGTCAATATCGTTTTTTCGCCAGCTCAGGCAAACGGGAACCCGAGTAGTGATGATGCAGGCACTTCACGCTGCCACCAGCTCGGTCGAGCTCGTGAGACCGTTGTAACCAGTAGCATTTGTACCTATCTGCTTGAATCAGATAACACATATGAACGACTGATTCTATTTTGGGAGGTGCCAAAGGACCTACCTCATAAGTCTCCTAGTTTCATGTTTTCCTGGACCGGCAGAACTCTTATTCAAAGAGAAAGCTATCACCTACAGCAAATCCTTAACGTCTAAAATGTCGTCGCTTTGCACTTAATGCTCGGCTATAACATCAAACCCCAAAATACTCCTCTAAATTGCAAGTGCTCAACATTTCTGCACACTCACGTCATATAGAGCCCATGTCCAGGCGAACCTTTGTAAAATTATTCGATCCTTTACACAAACTTGCGCCCAAAAGAAATATACCAAATGAATCGGAAAAATGCATTGTACGTGCCTGCTCAAAAAAGACTTTCCGGTACGCCCAATCAGCATTTAACGTAAGGCCTTATTAAAACGGTTGTTATTTCAGCGACATTTTCGGTTCAAAAGTGGGATGACTACCATTCTATCACCTGACTTCGAACGACAAGTTATGGACTGAATCCCTGAAAGAACTGAAAGGACGCCGGACGGAGGTGCTACGTGTCCAGCTACCCGCCATATTTAGGGTATACTGTATTTGGGAGAAGCAGATCTCTTAACTCCTTGGTTCGCGACGGCCGGTCACGACTGTGGGAACGAGACAACACACCAGGGTACAAATAACACAGGGCGATGCTTATCCGAACGGCCACCGACATTTCAAAGGCACATTAATAGTTACTGATGAAAGATGCCCGATAACTTGAGCCTGCACACTTGGCAATGCAGATTTGAGGCTGGATGGGTGATCGATTGCACGTAAAACCGACGAGGTAGGCGCTGTCGAATCGTCAGCAAATGGCCTGGCGAGACAAACCGACAGATATGCACCAACTGGAGACCACACGGCCGAGGCCTGAGCGTCGGCGAGACAGAGAGCCGACCAGCGGCGTCCACGCGGCCCGCTGTCGCCACCAGACGACGGTGAGACCCGCCTCTCCCCCCGCCGTGCCCGCTGGACCGGTACCGGGCACCGGCGCCGGGCGGCGCCTGCCGGCAGGCACACAAAGTCGCGATCAGAGCTGCTGCTGACCATCAGCAGAACGACCCTGTGCTGCTAATCGCTAAGTGATTGCAGACCATCCGGGTCATTCCGAATGATCGCTGATCTGAGTGGGTGGCGGAGCACCTCTTACCTTCCACCCACTGGCACTCGGCTGACCAGTGAATAGTTCTGCGCAAAATACCGCTGTTGCATTGGCGTCCTCCGACGTACGCCTATCAAAGACAGCACGGCGCATCCCATGCTCCGCGCGAGACGCTCGAGCCTATCATTGGCGGTGACGCGTCGCTGAGTTCGAAGCGGTGGGCTACACGCAACGCTGGGGCGAGCAGGGGCCGCGGCCGCCCCCGCCCCGTCGGCCGAGCGGGGCCGCGGCCGCCCTCGCCCCGTCGGCCGCACATAAGCGGCTGGGGGCGGGCTGCCACGCGCGCGCGCGCTGATTGGGGTGGCCGGCACGCCCCCGGCTCGTTCGTGGCGATTGCGACGGCGACGGCGAGTCGTTAGCGCGCGCAGCGTCCACGGGCGGCAGCCAGGCCGCAGCCGGCCACAGTGCAGACGCCGTGCGACCCCGAGTCGCTGCCTGGCAGGGACGACCGGGCCAGCTCACCGGTGTTCCCTCTAACCTCGTGTCACTGCTCCACGAGGCTCATCTGGCTCCGCCTTTGGTTGGTGTCCCGTCGCAGCCGGCGCCACTGAACAGGCCCGGGACTGGCCGGGATACGTGTCGGAGCGACGAATGCCTACACCCACTGCGCCAAACATCCCGCAAGACCACAATAATGTCCCAGGATTTTGCAGAAGGACGGTGTTGGGAGGTCTGGGGAAGGGGAAAGAAAGGTGAAGGCGAAGGTTAAGGTGGAGGTGAAGGTCAAGCGGCTTGGAGTGGGGAGGGGGTATTTCTGGCGGCCTACGCAGCGTACCATGCCAGCGTGAGACGGCCAGGCATTCACTGTGGAGCGGGCCGGCCGTCCAGCCATACACTGAGAGGCGCCTGGCTGGAGAGGGCCAGCCGCAGCCTGTCCGGCTGTCGAGGGCTCCACCCTGCGCGGTACCGGGGCCCGACAGTGCGGCGGCGGCGGCGGCAGCGCCCTAGAGTCGATGTTCCGGGGCTGCTCCGACCGACCGCGGCGTCGGCAGGGCGTCTCAGACCCCGAAGGACCCACCCACAGACCCACAGGCCGCAGAGGGCGTAAGAATACTTCCTCATCGGGTACACTGGGCGTCAGACGACTCCATCGCCTGGTGCGCTAGGCATCTCGATGGCTCCCTCACCGGGTGCATAGGGAGACAGACGACTCTCATCTGGCCATGGAGTGTCGCAGCAGGGCACTTGCCTGGTGCATGGGGTGTCGCGAAGTCTTGGCGCCCGAGTCCGGCGGCTTGTTGATCAGCATCGTGTGCATGGCCATGATGTTTTCTCCGGTGAATGCCTCCACCACGTCCAGAATCTGGCGGCGACACCAGCCGACATCAGCGCTCGGAAAGCCAGCGCACTCACGGGCTATGTCACGGTATGTCGGAAAGTCAGCGCACTCACGGGCTATCTCACGATATGCGTCCATGTTGTGTTAACGGGACCGTGTTGCACTGGATGTTGGTTTTTTGTTGCCTCCAATGTAGGTAACGTATGATACGGATATTTGCCGCAGCCTCCGTACCAGGTGACGCCTGAGATCTTCAACATGCGAGACGCGCTGCACGCCTGGTACATGTCAGGAAAGCCGGTACCAGCAGATAATTAAACTGTGAGCCAGATAGGTATAGTTTGGCCTTCCTCCAGTTTTCCGTTAGAACGTATCGCGACTCCTCATCCAATAGACGCCGTCAGATACACAAGCCAACTCGATGCTCGTTTACCGAGTTACCAAGATAGGCATGCCAAATAATCTCAAAGGCAACAGCAGCCATCACAATGGGCAACGCACTCCCGACAGCCAACCGTGCCAGCATGAACTCGTGTCATGTCCCCAAACGCACACACAAAACAAGCAGCACCTGTGGGGATTGCAGCTACCTCATCTCGTAATTTATTAGTGTTCAGACACCAGACGCTCAGAACCACAACCGAATAGTCACTGACATGCATTTTAGCAACCTTAAGCACCAACCGGATCATCCTGCGAACGCCTGAAAAGCCGACACCGACCAGAAGCTGCCCGACACAGGCTCGCGAGAGTCATCAGACGAGCAGACCCCAGGTGCCACCCACCGGCGGCAGCTGGACGAACTGCGAGGGGACATCAGACGAGCAGACCACCGGGTGCCACCCAACGGCGGCAGCTGGACGAACTGGGAGAGGACATCAGACGAGCAGACCCCCGGGTGCCACCCACCTGCGGCAGCTGCACGAACTGGCAGAGGACATCAGACAAGCAGACCACCGGGTGCCACCCACCGGCGGCAGCTGGACGAACTGGGAGAGGACATCAGACGAGCAGACCCCCGGGTGCCATCCACCGGCGGCAGCTGGACGAACTGGGAGAGGACATCAGACGAGCAGACCCCCGGGTGCCATCCACCGGCGGCAGCTGGACGAACTGGGAGAGGACATCAGACGAGCAGACCCACGGGTGCCACCCACCTGCGGCAGCTGGACGAACTGGGAGAGGACATCGTCCCATACGAAGTCCTGGATCTTATTGACGACTCGCTCCTGCGTGACGTCCGTCCGACCCCGCAGCGCGATGTCCTTCATCATAGTCATCTGTCCCTTAGGAACGCGGCCGTCCACCACGTCCAGGAACCGCGACCTGGCCAACAGCAGCATAACGCGGTGAGCCGCAGGGCCGGACTGACGGAACGGGCCGCAGGGAGCGCCCAGCACCGAACGTAATGCTGAAGAAGACGGTGGAGGTGACGGATTGGGCTTCAGATGGCGGCACTGATCGGGCTTCAGCGAACACAGGCGTGCGTGCGGGAGAGCCGCGGTCCATCCCGGTGCCGTGACTGAGCAGGCTGCACTGTCGGCGGATCCGCGCTCGCATGCCTGCCTTGGTGACGTTCACCGGCAGACGGCACTCACAAACTTGGCAGCTGTGCGATTCCGTGCACATTTTAGCGATCGCGAATCGTCCAGGACAAATCGAAACACGAGGGCCACGGCATTAGACCGGCGCCCTGCACAAAGCACAGCTCTGTGCGACTGGTCTGTGACAAACGTCCAGAGAAGAGCAAAGACGAACACACTCCAAACGTCATGGGGCCTCTCGCGGGCACAGAGCGAATGGCCTCCGGAGGCAGGTCCAGGAGAAAGCCACACATTGACCTGGACACAAAAGCAAACAGACCAAGATGATACAAACTACCACTGTTTTCAACAATATTCAGCTCACCAGGCTGTTCATGCTGTCATGTAACATGCTGTTCAACTTGTTTTATGGAACCAACAAAACGTGGCGAGTCGGAAAAAAAGCTTTTCCGCCCCAGCCAGATCCAGAGTGCCACCAATGCGGTACCCTATACAGCACAGGCACTGACTCGGTATGTTGTAAAGCTACGGCGTGGACACATCACCGCAGTGGTGGCATCTTCCTTAGCATCCACGTTAAAATCAAAGCTTGGCGGGCCGATTAAAACGAAAACATCGAACGACTCGCAAAATGCACACTGTGCACACCCGGGCGAATGGGGCAACATTTCTGAAGATTCGAGCCGGTCTGGTTCGCACAGGCTCATTTCGACCTGCCCGGACAGTCACGCTAGTGGGGTACGAGCCGCGTCAACCCAGTCCTGGCCTCTGCTGACAATACTCCTGACAAACCCTCATCAGCTCATTTTTATCGGCGCTACCAAAATATTTTTTAATGCATCCATACCGTAACCCAAATAGCTTCCTGGCTTATTAATCTTACCATAAATGGGCGCAAAGTGACCATCGAAGTAGACGTACCCTAAAACACTAATGAACAACAAAACACCTTACCATGCAGCCTGAGCAGCTCGGTGCGTCGCGAAACCCCAATGACGGCGTGCCTGCCTTATCTGTTGTTACCTATGTTATTATCATCTCTTGCAACCCATCGCATATCTGCTGCAACATATCTATGCTCCACACCCTACCTTATCAATCTTATTCTATGTTATCACACCTCATCCTATCCATCTGATCTTGCCAGGACACATGACAAGATCACTTGAAAGTTTGGCAGACACCGGCAACTCGGCCCGTGCGTGGTTAGCGCAGCTGAAGCGCGGCCCCACCAGCCTGCACTCCGTGCATGCTATCCTCGCCAAGCCCGGCTCGCGCCAACCATCCAATGCTGCGCAGGCGTGGCTTTCCGCTCCCAGCTGACGCCGGATCCGGGTCAGCCGCACTGGGCGGCGCTCTGGGACGACGCCGGGGCCGAGCGACCCTTGCCCCCAGTACTCAGGCGGGCACGTGTCGCATTCGCCGGGATAGCCCGCGTGCCGCGCCCGCCAGTCCCACTGGCTCGATCGTCGGCGGCGTCCCATCCATCCGCGCCGGCTGGACAGCGCATGCCCAGTGTCGATACGGCCGATCAGGGCGCCCTAATGGTGACGCCGGTGACGTCAGGTTCGCCGGCCGGGACCCGGCGGCGAACGCCGCCCACACTCGGACCGGAGCGTGGGACGGCGCGTCCCTCCAGACTTCAGCCCCGGCGGGCGGCGTCCTTCCCCAATGACACACAAGCAAAAATAGTGGCGCGTGTGCTCTGACCTTCTCCAGCTCTCCACGCTCGGAGGTGAAGTGTGCATGGGAGGTCCGGGATCCAGAGAGTTCCGGAGAGCCCCGGGAGCCAGCGAGCTCCGGGAGCCGGCGAGGTTTGGGAGTCGGCGAGCTTCGGGAGCTTGTGAGTTCCGGGAGCCAGTGAGCTCCGGGGCCGGTGAGCTCCGGGAGTCGGCGAGCTCCGAGAGCTTGTGAACTCCGGGAGCCGGTGAGCTCCGGGGGCCGGCGAGCTTCATGAGCCGGGTGCAAGCGATCGACACCAGGAGTCATCGGTACCCGTGTCCGAGACTAATGTTCGCGGTGCCGACAGCACATTACACAACTCGGCTGTCCACAGCTAATGACACGTTATGAACAGGTCGAGCGGCAAGAACCGACTTCCGGGGTTGGCCGCTGACGACGAAAAGGAAATTCGAACATGCTTAAAATTCGTTTACCAGACTTTTCTGATTCTTCATGCCAACATTATGGGAGATCGGGATGCCAAAATGCGATGTTTTGGGATCGGGGTGCAGATGTGTTGTCGGAAGACCATGGGTGTTCGAGGTTAAGCGTCCTTGGGTAATGACCGCTGTTGAGAGCTACGTTGCCCGGCGGTGCATTAGAAAGCATACACACCCATAAGCAACTCCAGTGCCTTACACATATCGTTTTAGTAGGATTTTTAGCACATCATGTTAGCACGTGGGCGTCTTCTAGTGTACCGTTCGCCAGCTGATTCATGAATCACACAGCTTGAAAATCGGCTGACTGTGGTTCTGAACACGTCATGGCATTTTATCCGACAGAATCGATGTATTTGGAGTGAATTACATACAAATTTGCGGACGAGATGCGAATGGAAAATACGAACACAATGGCTGGATATTGCTTAAAGCGAACTGGATTGCGCGCTAGCGTAATTTTTCATGCCAGTTTCTCTCGGTGATATCTCAACAAGTGGGTCGGGTAGTGCTGGCCCCACACACAATCTGGAAATGGCAAATTCGCCAACAGCATGCCGCCAGTATCGGGTACTGGCCACCTCTTCATGCCCAGAACTGACGCATGCTCTTAAAAGACATCCCAGAAATCCGGCTGAGCCAAGGGCGGCGCTTCACAACTTCTGACGAATTTGTACTAGTACCGAATATCTACTATACTATGACCAATAAGTGAAGTCAAACCGTCAGCGCCTAAGAGTCGACTCCGTTTGCTAGGTTGTGACATCACAAACGGTCCACATGTCAGCGTGCTTTTATGCTGAGAGATAACTTAAAATTACAATACGCAGAACATGTCTTTTTAACATACAATTTAAGCAAACTCCATTACATTTTTAGCAAACACTGGAACCCGGGGTTTGTGAAAACACGAGCCCAGATAAACGAGCTACTTTTAGTTCTGGGACCCTGGCATTAATATCTCCAGTCTAACATTACCCTCCCCCCCCCCCCCCCTCCCGGCAAACGGTACCGGTCTCCGATCGCTGCGAGGCCGACTTCTGGTGGCAGCTTAAATCTGCGTTGTGCCGGATTTTCACAATCAGCACGTCATATGTTGCCCAATATAGTCGAAGGCGAGAGGCAGCGTCCTGTTTGAACTGATATGTTACGAGAAACCACATCAGATGGAACAGCTTGAGCCCTAATACCTAAAAATAACGCAGGGTAATTTTGGATGAGTTGCGCATCACATGAATACAGACTAAAACCAGGGTCAATCATAGTTGCAAGCATTCTGACCCCAAGAGGGAACGGGTGCGACCGAGACGGACCGTCAAGTTAAATTAAAAAGTTACCACCGTTCAAGCAGTCATTTGGCACAGCGCCTCGTCTGCGATGCATGGTTTTGTACGGATGCCGTGGGTCCCGAAGATCGCGTTCTGCCCCCTGCCCCTTCCTCCAACCCACCCGCATAGAAATCAAGACAGAATACATAAGTTGGCTGGACGCCGCAGCTGATGATCGCACGGAAACAAAACCACACAGCTCTCACTTTTGAGCACGACATTGGGTTTACATAAGTTGTCAAGTGCAGTTGCGAGGAACATTATTCGCATGGATAGACCTTGTTGAAAGCCCTACTCCTCGGGGGAAAAACAGGAAAATGGAGATATAGACGCGTTGATATTTCGGCAACATGTCTTTATCGAAACAATAGCGGAAGTGAATTCACTTCTACTATTCAAGAAACGCTACTATTCACACTCACTCAATTCACTTCTACTATCCGTTTCGATAAAAAAACATGTTGCCGAAATATCAACGTATCTATATCTCCATTCTCCTGGTTTTTCTCCGGGGAATACGGCAATCAGCACGGTGTCAACCAAGACATAGGAACGTCCGCACGAGTCGCAGTCTTGCCTCTGGTGTCCACAGCGTGACCCTTCCCCACCGGTCAAAAGCTGCCCGATCAGTAGGTCCGGCTTCCCCCCTTTTTTTAAGTAGCGCGACATACGTCGCCGTGCGCTTTTGAAACGACAACGACCATCGTGGTCGTGTTGGTGACCAGGGACCACGGCACTGGCGAGATTCGAACACGGGCCTCAACGAGGGAGCAGAGTTTGCCCACCATTTTTACAACTCTTCCAAGCTACCTTTGATGAAGTACACCACATGTACCAGTCAGGCTGGTGAAACGCAAAGCATGCCGTGATCAAGCTATGTGTTCGAGCACAGTTCTTGACAAGCATTACACGGCCAGTTCAGCTCTGAACAGTTCGTTCTGTTCTGTTTTAATGACCCAAGATGTCGCACTGAAGCTGTTCAAGAGTTTGAGAGCTGGGAGTCGGGATCAGAGCACGTTGGAAGAGGAAAGCAAGAAAAAAGTTGTGGCAGAGGCAACTAAAATCCTGCGACAACACAACATTCAAACAGCATTGGCACCGCAGTAAACAAGTTCCCGTATTCGAAACGCTACCCATGCTTATCACAGTTGGGGAAGCACACGATCTCAGAGCGACGTCGGAAAAAATATCATCGGACTTGCTGATCGCGCCACATTTTACACAATGTTAGCATAACAAAAGCGGCCGCTCAGCGACCAGCCCACGCCCCGCAGCCGACGGCCGCCTCTCGGCGCAAGAAGGGGGGGGGGGGGGCGGGCAACCAGGACCTGATGTTCCCGATAGCCGCCTCCGCTGCCGCAGGCACCAGCGACGACGAGCCTGCAGTCTCATGCTACCACCCCCGCTCTGTATGTCCCACCACAGGGACACGATAGCCCCGCTCAGGCCCCCTGCTCAGGCCGTCGTCCCCGCTGCGTGTGTCCCACCCCTCCCACCTCAGGTGGGTCCTGTCGAACTTCGGTCAGCACAGCCCAGACGCAGAAATGGTGCGATCACACCCCATGAGACACCAGAGAGCTTGAGAAGCCGCAACTCCCAGCTCAGCGAGGAGTGATGGCACTCATCCGTCACGCGCCAACGGCAAACGGGTCGGCTGGAGAGCGACGGCACGAGGGCGGCGTCTTTTGCACTCAACTTAATGCATGGGACCCTGTGGTGGTCTCCAAGAAGGACGGCGGCCTGTCACCGGTGACTGATCAGCTGATGATAGCTTTTCATAATGCTATGTAAATGGTGTGTGCACGGGGGGCATGGATAACATTGCTCATCCGCGCCTTTTCAGGGGTGACTGAGCCCTCTAATCAATCTCTTTTCTTCTATCGATGTTCATCCAATAGTTCCAGGCGGCCAGGATCATGGGGAAGTCAATTGCAGGGGGGGGGGGGGGGGAGTGCACGTCACCAGTTTTGAAAGGCTAGGTTCTTATGCATCTCATCTTTGGCGTAAAAAGAACGCTTTTGACATCTCAACCGTCGAAAAACAGGATTTCTTATAGCATCATTTTTCACCCGTGTGTGTGTGTCATTGGGGCTTTACGACGCACTCAGCTGCTGAGGCTATATGGCGTCGCCTGCCTCTCACCCTGGCAAGAAGGGCGGGTACCACGGGGAATCGAACCCCGTACCTCTGGTTTCCCAGACGCGAAGTGGTTAACGCAGACGAGTTAACCACTACACTATCGGCACCCACCATTCTTCACCTGCATTGATTCCTCTCTGCCGATCTTTGCATCATCGCTACATTCACGACAACTGACCAGGTCATAGTAAAACATAATGAGGGCAGACCGGTGAGTGACGTTTCCCTCCTTTGCTATTTCCTACGTATTTCTCCTCCAACCAAGCAGTCGGCACGCGCCCACTTCCGCGCTGATATCACGATCCACGCTCAATGCTGCATAACACGAGATTCTTGTAAGTCCATTAAAAACTCAGGCCTACCACATCGAAAACGAGCCCGGCATCTCATTCAAACAAATCAGGCTATTTTAGGCATTGTGGGATATGAAAAATAACCCACCAAAAGAACGCACAAACAGAGATGTTATTCTACGGTGAAATCTCGTCCCTGAATTGACTGTTAATAATCGCATTGGTTGAACAGCGAAAGAAGTCTCACAACATCAGAAAATACTCCACCGATGTAATCTAAAAGAGTCACAAAACACAGTCCGATATCTTCAAGGTCTCATGGTCGGGCACGATCCAAAGTGCAATCAGATACTCGCGCTCTAACACGGATAACCAAGTCAAGTGTCGCCGTCTTGTCGCTTCGCTGCGCATCTCTGAGATATCTCAGAAACCTAAAACCAAAGCTCACTAAAAGTGACCTACCTTGACGGCAAAGCAGCAGAAAACGCCATATGCCGGTTGATTTGAATGACATAGATGGCACAGAATATATCCATGTTTCGCCTACCAGGCGTTGCACTGACACTACACTAGTGACTGTAAACGGGTCTATCCGGGTCCATAAAACACGTTGTCTCACTGCATAACCCTGCCAGGGAAGAACGCTTTATTGCTCGCTGCATGACACCAGTGTGAAATCTCCCGCTCCAGCTTTCACTTCCACGGCGGCGGAGGTCTGGTCAAACCCTGACCAAACGTCGCCCGCTTGGGTAGCCCAGTCCATCCCTGACTACACATAGGACATTAATGCGAGGTGAACTGCTCCCTTCTTAACCACACTTTACCTTGCTTGGTAGCCCACCGCACCTCTGACAACAGGACACGCCTGCAGGGGCAGCCCACCTGAACTGGTCGAGCAGTGCGGGTGGTACAAGGTTCCGCACCACCACGAAACCGTTGGTCTCGTAGTGGGCGCGCTGCTGGGCCGTCAGGCGACCGTTGTTGAGCGAGTAGCGCAGCTGGGGCGGCGCCGCCGCCGCCGCCGCCGGCTCGGCCGACACGGAGACGTCCAGCCGCACCTGCAGCTGTCCGGTCAAGGAGCATGTGCGGGACAGACCGCCACGCCGCCGCCGCCACATGGCTCTGTGCCACATATACGTGGGACAAACTCAGCCGGAACAGGGACCGGGACACACATGCAGCCAACGTGGCGATCTTTAAGGACTGAACCTACCAAAGAAATCTCCCAAATAAAATTTTTAGGGAGGCAGCGGAAACGTGAATTCAGTACGCGTTTCTTCCACTAAAAACGGATTTACAAGATACATTACCATTTTTCAGTACCTTGTTCAGCTCATCTCGATTTAATACTATAACCAAAAACACTTCCACATTTGACAGCCATGCAATACTTGCCGTACTTGATGTAATGCCACATTAGTAACTGCGCCTGTACAAAGGAGCCCGCACAAAGCACAAGACCTTCCTCCCGCAAAATAATTACGTCAATAGCGGTAAACCTCGCATGAACCAGGGGAGATGACGCATCTTTCTCCTTATGTCACACATTATTTTTGGGGTGGACCGAATGCCTCGATTCTAAAACCCTTGACAGCATCATCATGCGAACGATGACGGTGCGTGAATATCCCACTGAGAAGCTGTCCGATAGAGGTGAGATCAGCCGCAGTTAAGATAATTCGTTAAAGCGGAGCTACAGGGAGTGAGGCCCTGCAAAGAGCAGAATAACTGCATCGTGCCCCCAGTGCCCCATCAACACATGCACTCACATTGGTCAACAAAAAAACGCGCCAAAACCCGAGCGGCATCACAAGGAACGTCGCGGATGAAAATGTCTCAAAGATAGCTCGTTTACACGAATATTATACTACAAACTAGCATTTACCGAGATTACTCAAAGACAGCCGACCTCATCTGTAATTTCCACACACCATCTGCAGCGAACGAGCTGTGTTAAAAATCGACACGGATGCTTGCGCACGCCACACATCTGACGCCCTCACGAGGGCACGAGATCCCACCAAACACCACCAGGATGACTGACGCCAAGGATACATTAAGGCCGGCCAGATGACCCTGAATAACCTTCAGACGGTTGGCCGCCATCGTCTGGAAAGATGAGCATTTCATTAGAGACAAAGCCAACATGGCATCAGTTTGATAGTTTGATGTGCGCTGCTCATGACGACAGGCCGACAAGCTGGCGCATAAAAGTAGCGGTAACATCAGGCCAGCTAACTGACATACAAACTTTTCAAACAACCACAAAATTAAGCGTCTTCACCATAGAAATATGAGCTCCGTCACGGGTCAAACGTATGCGAGGGGGAAGAGGGGGGGGGGGGGGGAGTACAGAAGTTTTATCAGCTTCTTTGGATACGGCGTCCACGTTTATTTCTCTCTCCATTGTCGCGTTAAATTTCACAAAGTTGGGAGGGAAAGTTCCTTCTCGGTCATGGTGCCCACCACGCATGCATGTACGTGCGACGAAAAACTAAACCCTATTCTTTCAGTCTAGTCGAAGGGCGGTCAGTGGAACACGTCGAGCCGCACGTATTCCTACGTACGCACGCGGCCGCCCTCTCCCCGATGGGGTGCCTCACCCGTCCGGCGACGCGTGCCGACGCCCCGCGTTCCGTGCCCGCCATGCACCGGCGGCACCAGCGCAGATTCTCGCCCCGGCCGACTCCCGGGCGGCCCTCACCAGCGGCACCAACGCAGATTCTCGCCCCAGCCGACTCCTGGGCGGCCCTCACCAGCGGCACCAGCGCAGATTCTCGCCCCGGCCGACTCCCGGGCGGCCCTCACCAGCGGCACCAACGCAGATTCTCGCCCCAGCCGACTCCTGGGCGGCCCTCACCAGCGGCACCAACGCAGATTCTCGCCCCAGCCGACTCCCGGGCGGCCCTCACCAGCGGCACCAGCACGGATTCTCGCCCCAGCCGACTCCCGGGCGGCCCTCACCAGCGGCACCAACGCAGATTCTCGCCCCAGCCGACTCCCGGGCGACCCTCACCAGCGGCACCAACACAGATTCTCGCCCCAGCCGTGGCGCTGCCCCAGCCGACTCCCGGGCGGCCCTCACCAGCGGCACCAGCGCAGATTCTCGCCCCAGCCGACTCCCGGGCGGCCCTCACCAGCGGCACCAACGCAGATTCTCGCCCCAGCGGACTCCCGGGCGGCCCTCACCAGCGGCACCAACACAGATTCTCGCCCCAGCCGACTCCCGGGCGGCTCTCACTAGCGGCACCAACGCGCCCACTCGACCCTGGCCCCGCGTCCGGCGTCCGCTGTTTACCCCCGTCCCCCCCCCCGCGCGCCCAGAGGGCGGGACAGATAGGAAGCAGCGGCGGAGTCAGCGGGGCCGAACACGCGTGCAGATGGAGCCAACAGCACGGTGCCCTCTGATGTGCACAAGCTTTGATTCCTCGCACCAGAGGTGCATAGTCATCATGCATGCCCATTGACGATACCACCATTACATGGACGTATTGCTGCGACATACGCACAGGATGGGGTATGAACACACCGCCCCTGGCAAGGAGCATGCAGTTTATTTCTATGCTAAAATTTGCATTTAATAATGCTAATGGGTACATGTCATGGGCAATAATTAGCATTGTTTAGCATCATTTCCAGAATGTTTTAAAGGAATGTTCAAACCCAGATTCATGTTGATTCCTTCCATGTGTCACCATATAGATGATTTTCAGGCTTCTCAGAGTGGGGTTGCTTTGCCCCCTGCCCATCATCCCACCTAATGTCTCAAATAGGGTTATCACCATGATATTTTGCCATGAAATTGACAGATTTCTGGCAGACTTTTTGACATAACATTATATTGCTGAGCACACAAACTCACCATCTTACATTAGACATTCTGTCATGATGCACCAAGTGCATCATTTATCATTTCTAGCATACAGTCATGCACAATTTTGCTTCTAAGCAAATAATCTGCATTATATGAGCATTGCTGCAATGCTGTCATGATGAAGAAGGTGGCAACAACAGGGAGGGGGGGGGGGACATTTTGTAATATCTCTATACCAATTACATACAACCAACAATGATGCATACTCCCAGAGCAATATGCATGCATGATACCCAAATTCATGACAGTAACATAGTACAATAAAAATGAGCATTAGAGCTAAGACTTATCTGTGCCACTAATGGTGATCTAAGACTTGCACTGATAACAAATGTGCTTTTCTCAACACTGATATAGATTATCTACCACCCATCAACTATGCTGTTGAGGCCTAGCCCTAAGCAGCAAAAGTATTACTTATAACATCTCAACATTCTTGGACAGCCAGACAACTGCCCTGGAGCACAGCAAAGACACTTGCATAGCTGTCAGCAACAGGTGGAATTGTCATCATTTGATCTAATCATGCAAATGTAGTTCCACAGCCAGATCCAACAAGCTGTGAATGGCTCAGCAATGAACTAACCTATTGTAAATAACATAAAGTGCAGAGGCATCACTTCCTATTCAGTTAAGTGTGAGGGGGGAGGGGGCTGACCAAGAGGGAAATAGGTAAAATAGAGGAAAGACCTGCTTTTATCATAGTATAATTGCATTTTGAAGGCACATGATCCATTTTTTTCTCCCCAGTCCTCCAAGACTAATTTTGGAAAAATACACCTCTGCTGATTTGCTGATATACACCAAAAATATACCTTAGGTTTTGTTACTCAATGAACACAAATACTGGTAACAAAAGGGTGGAAATCAAACTTTAAAGCCTACCATTCATTACTGTGTTTCCACACCAGGCTTACTAAATAGAACATGCACACATAAAATTCATTGATGGCTGGCCTGGAAACCAAACACACTAATGCATTGCATCACTGTACACTTAACTGAAAGTACAGTAACCACATAGACAATTTGTTAGCAAAAGCTGCCCAAGATTCCTTTCAAAAATCACAGTTCAATGTGTTGCTTTGCCCAGCTATGCCCTCCCCCCCCCCCCCCCCTCCTTGAGCATGGGCCGCATCTCCCCACCCCCTTACCCCTCGATCAGCTCGAGTTTGTATTTTATGCAATTGTCCTTTTCACTTTCCAGCTGCTGGGGTCACTGCAAGGGTCACTGGTCATACAGGGATGGGAATGAATGGTTAGCTTAAATCTTGAACACCTGAATGACTGACGGCTATAATGATGCTAACGGTATTTTGTCAGCGAAACTAACCCTCAGCCCGCGGCCGCAAAACGCGAGATCCAACCGTCACAGCTAATGGCCAAATGTCACATGACCTCGCATAACAGCCCTTTCTTTAAAGGCTGCGCGTATACACCCTCCAAAACGGAGGGCGGCCACGCACCGGGCTTACACACCCTCCAAAACATAGAGTGGTTGCGCGCCGGGCTTGTGCACCCTCCAAAACGCAGGGTGGCTACATACCGGGCTTATACACCCTCCAAAAATCTTTCAGATGGTTGTGCGTGTCAAGCGTGCGCGGATTGCCAGTCTTAGAGGGAAGCAAGTGCAAATATGCAGAATCCCGTGCGAAAGGTCGGCTCTATGCGTGATAGGCATAAAACGATCACGAAATCTTATCAAACCACTCTGCACAAGTCCTATTCTGGTGACAAATTCTCAGGAGCCGAGCCCAAGGCCTTACAACAGGAGGTGTAACTGCCCGGCCAATTCCGCTGTTTCGACTGATGACGTCACAAGTCTACTCGGCACGTAATGGTCAGTGACGGATGCATGCCTACCGCAGCTTGCTTGGCTTTTGGAAAAGGTTCTAATGCTGGAAGCCGTTAAATATTTTTGGTTAGATCATGACAAAACTTTTTCTTCTCCGAACAGGCCATAATATGAGTTCTAAGGTACATTAACACGCGCCCAGGTGGCCGGCTAGATACCATTCGCTCGGGTGGGGGTCAATTTGACCCCCCTGAGATCTCGGGAACTAAGAAAGCTAGAGACACAAAATTTACAGGGTGTCTTAACCTGCACGTTAACTCAGTGAATTCTAAGTTTGAGATTCCTAGGTCATGACCATCAGGTCAAACAAGGTCAAACAAGGTGAAGTTCCAGGTTGGTCTCCAAAGTGCCCCCAGAACCTAGGCAATTGTTTCTAAGCAAAAGGCCACACGCCCATTTGAGGTCAGCGACCTTGTTTGACCTTCTCAAGGTCATGGTGACTAAAATCGTACAGGACCGCTCTGGGTTTTGCATTTGAATAAGCGACAAACATTACGCTTGGCAGTATGTTCCTGAAACAAAATGTCAAACCGGGTCATCTTAGGTCAATGACCTGTTCTGCCCTCTAAAAAGTCAATGGAAGACGTCTAATGCGGTTCATGCTGTCAATAAATTCGAAATGAGCACTAGAAACTATCCCACACAGCAAGCCCTAGAGAAATAAATCAGGCTGGTTTTGACTTAAGTGTGACCTTCATACCTAACCTTAAGTCAACGTAATTTGCTCATTCAATATTTGTGGTGCCTAATAAAGCATCTCAGGGATGAGCCCCCATCTTAAGTGGATGGATGGTTAGCGTGCTAGACTCGCACGCGGTAATCCCGGTTTTGAATCTTGACGACGGCCGAGCAGAGCGAATTCTAACTTGGGCTTTCCATACCGGACAGCAGCGTAGTTTCTAATGCCAGAGGGAGGACTAAATATAAAGAGGACTCCGTCCCCCCAGGGGTAGGTGGTCCACACCGTACAGAGATATTGGGGGTCCCGTGAAGGTTGACTGGGGTTAAATGGGGCCAGCAACTTGTGTAAACATTAATTGAAAATGTGTGATATGTAAACATTATGTGTAACGTAATGTGTACAATGCGCCAACATTAGTGAAAAGTTAGGTCACACGACCCTTCCGAACAATTGCTTAAAGATCATTCCGTCCCAGCCCGGGGTGTCTGCCAGCTGCCATTCTGGCGACATGAAGGCGGGTTGGCCTAATGGGTTCGTCCGGAGGCCTTCATAGATGTACGTCCTACATTGGTGCCATCCCTGGAGCGGAAGGCCCTCTGGTGGCTTCTGGCCGGGGCATTTTACCCGGAATAGGCGCAAGAGCCCTCATTGAGGCAACAAGATCTCTGATAACCGCAGGGGATCCAATAACTGGCACAGAGACCCATGTTTGGCCAACGGACCCTTGGCTAAAACGGGGTGAAGGGCCCCGCAAGGGCCCCGGGTCACCTCTGGCATGCTCGGGAGTCCTTCCGTCACAGGACCCCCTGTTGGACACTCTGGAGGCCGTACCGTCAAAAGGCCACTCATTGTTGTAGGGACTCCGACCAACGCAAATCGCGGGCCTCGGTATCGTTCCTGCTAGAGTAATGGGGCCCCAGGGCTCAGAACAACATGGAGTCAACTATTCGGTGTGGTGGTCTCCGGCAGCAATAGGTGCCCGCACTGTCCCAGGGGTCCCCAATCGGCGAAAGAGGCACATTGGCTGACATCTGGGAGCACAGCCATGCGGGCCAGGATGACCTGCAGCCTTTCGACCCTTACGGCCATTCAGCCTTCCCATCGGCCCGTTTATCATCAGCCTTGAAGGGCACATCGGTCCATTTTCAGGCACCCTCGTGCACTCCCTGACCAACTCGGGGACCCTTTTCAACACCGGACCTCCGGTTAGGCGCTGTGTGCCCGTGGCAGACATAGGGGCCCTCATTGGCTCGGGGTGCACTGGCCAGTGTAAATCGCGGGTCCTGACCTTGTCCCTTCTTGGAAAATGGACTCCCAGGCCCAGGTCGGGGCCC